CTGTCCCCATGGTGAAGCTTCAGTTGTGTTTAGTTATAGAAAAGGTCCACATGGAACTGTTGTAGAGATAGGAGATGTTTGCCAAACAATGTTCCTATCTTTCTTTTTTTTTTTAATTTTTTTTTTTTTCGTAGGCTCTCAAGGCTAGAAAAATCTGTGTGGTTGTTCCTCGCAAAATCATCTTTCAGATACTAAAAGGAAGCGCTTTGACATCTGAGTCAGCCTTTAAAATAGATATGTTTGTTCTTTTTGCCTTTAAATGGGAAGTCCTCTGGGATATCTTGAATAATTCAAGGAAATGTTAGAATGGAGAGGACATACAAGTAGTAAGAAAAAGTGGTTAGTCTGAGGTACGTAGGTGTATTTGTGCAACTTTCCATAAGAAATTTCTATGTTACTTCAAATAAAGCAGTTTTATACTGGAAAGGTGGATGTAACAGATTGGGAGTAACACTTGCAAAAATAACACAGCTTTTTCTTACTTTCTCTCAGAGAAGCAATAAATGTTGTGATGCCTTCCTTATCTCATGACTTCAGAAAATTCAGGGGTATTATGAAATATATGACAAAATCAGGATATGACAGTGGAAGAGGTGAAGGAGAAATGCTCCAGATCCCAGATATCATGCATCCTTTCAGCACTCGAGTGATAAACAGGAGATTGTTGGAGCCTGCACTAGACACAAGCCAAGAACTGTATTGAACTTTCTTTTAAGTGATATGAGTATGTTCTCCTGATATGGTGGTTCTATGTAGCAGATCAGAAAAGGAAAAGCAGTCTTGCGATGCAATTTTCAGAGAAAAAAGAACCTCAGAAATTAAATTATATTTAGGTATATCATTCATTTTCCATTCTCTAGATGCACTTGTTCATGTTCTAGCCCCTTTTCTGAATGTGGCAGTTTGCAGTGATTCACAGTCTCAGTGTAATGGACAGCTACTACAGGGTCAGCAAGAAAAGTTGCTTCCAGTAGCCTGACAATGACAGCTGGTAATGACAAGATCCATCTTGTAATCTTTGGGAATTTAATGAAAACAAAAGCAATGATCTTTTCACTGAAAGATAACTATCTTCATCATGGTTCTTGTTTTCTACTTTCTTTATTGTTTTGGTCTGAGCTGTTGTTCTGTGGTGTAGATGCCCGTATCAAGAGCATGAAAAAATCTCTCAAAAGTTTCTTCCCTTTGTCTTGAGCGTTATCTCCTTTTGTGAAGGCTGAATTTAGGTTACTATGGAGAAAATGGGTCTGGAAGTTGCAAATAAATGGTGTATCTATCCAATTCCTGTCCCATTTCATCATCCATTTTATGAATGCTTCCAATAAAGAGGGATTTAAAGAGATGCCCGCAGAATATGAGAGCAGGGAGCACTTACACTTATCCTCCTTTTTTTTTTTTTTTTTTTTTTTAATAAAGTAAGAAATAATGTCACATTCAAGAACTTTGCTGTTTTCTGCATTAATCTATCATTTCAAGTCTCAGCTGGTAATTTTATCCTGTATGATTCCCTAGGTGAACCTTGGTGAAGGTTGGCTTCCCTAGGTGAAGATTGGCTTGTGATTTTAAACTCAGGATTTTTCTTTTTTTGTATGTATTCAGCCTGCCTGCAGAAAATACCTTACATCACAGGTAGGGGCATCTCATTACCAGCAGTCTTTTTTGCTCGATCTTTCTAAAACAGCATTTATAAGTAAATGTTTGAAGGTCCTGAAAGTGCCCATGAGACAGCGTCTATACCTCGACTCAAAAATGAAATTAATAAGAGTAATGTTAGCATTTAGGTTCAGTAGATCCTTACCAGTTTTTGGTATGTGAGAAAGTATGTTTTCGATTCTGATAAGATTCTTGTCAGAACTATTGGCATTATTTCAGACCTCCTGTATGCTCTAGTCAGACGTAGACAGTATTTAGATGTTGAATGTTCTTTAGATGTTGCTTAGGTATGGTGCTGAAGATCCTACTACAGACGGTCTTCGGATGTGCAAGGCGTGTGTTCTCTTGGACTTAGTCTGATGCATCTTCTCTGATGTATGAGTAATTTCCAATGGCTTCTGAAGAAATGCTTTGCCCAAACATTCTTCATGGACACTGGCAGCAGAGGGAAAGGAAGGAACCTGACTCTGCTTTTCGTGCTGGGTTCTTTCCATCTTCTATTTTCAGATTTTGTTTGCAAATAACTGATATCTGTTGAGTTTACACAACAGTAACGGATTTCTCAAAAGCCTGTTTCTGTACACAAGGAATTGACTACAGTAAGGATTAAGAACAAGAAATGTAACATTTAATTCTTAAGAAGCCTCCAATTTGGACTCTTTCCCTAAATCCTTCTAGCCACCCAGGACTAAAAATGGGTTTCTTCTTATATACTTTAATACTGGAGGCCTTTATGAAACTGAAGGGTAATGATGCAATGAAGGTTATGATAGTCCTATTTTGGATGCTTCTGGCATTATTTGTTATCAACCAAACCTAGTGCATCCCCCCCTTCCAGACCTCTAATGACCGTTCTAACTGGAATAAGCTCTTGTAGAACTGGGCAAATCCTATACCGGTATTTGTCCAATGTATGCAGCATCACTTTACTTGACAGTGAAATATAACTGTTTCCTGAATTTCAGAGCATTCTGTTCAGAAGCTAAGACATTCTTAACTGGATTGATTTGTCTATTTCATTGAAAGATATTTATTTTATTTCTAGAGCAGTGCTTGTTTCAACATGAAGTAGTCTGGCTTTGTTATCTGCTCTGTAAAAGATCTTCCTGTTAAGATTGTATGCGTGTAACCCTGTGTAGGTTTGTGCTGTAACGAGTTGTCTGATTATGGTTTAGGTAGCCCTTACGTCAGCTGAAGTGTTAGGAGAATTCTCATGGGCATCTTCTCCCTGTAGAAGGCATTATAAACCAAAGACTCTTGCAGGTCTTATCTCAGATTTCTCTTTGTCATGATTTTGGAGTGCTGTATCAACCAATTTTGTTTCTTCTTTGCTGAAGAGAAGTAAAACTTGGAACAGTTGGGTGTAATTAATCTCATACATCTCCTAGACATCTAGTCTCCATCCATTGTAAGTGACTGAAGAAGCGTAATTTATCATACTATTTTGTTTGAAAATACATTTTATCTAAATATGTATCTTTAGATGGATGCATCTGGATCACTCTGGTTTGTCTGTTCTTTTTCACTGACTATTGAAGGAGTCTAGACAGATAGCATAATGTTAGTTACATGAGATGAATGTAACAGTGTTATGTTATTTTAATAGGGCAGTTCATTCAGGACAATGCCTGGACTGTGATCTTTCCTGAGAAGAGTTAATATATAGAAATATTCTCTCTAGATTTTTTGAAATTGATCTCAAGCCATAAAAAAACATTCTGTGCTTGATAATTTGTGATAGTTTTGATAGAAGTAAAATATTGGTTCACTGCATTCAAATTCAGGAAACAGCGTCTGCATAAATTCTCTCACTTACATTTATAGTGCTTGAGCTATACGGCTGTAAAGACACTTATTCTTTAGTCTTTTGAATGTTCCCATTCCTAATTGAACTCTTCAGCGAGCGCTCAAGAGTTGTTCCTCAGAATAACTGGACATTTGCTAGTTAGTAACCAAGAATGGAATCCTTTTGGAAGGAGACAATAGATAGTTAATGTTTTCCACATGGATTCCAAAGCTCCAACTATTTCCCTGCTATTGAGTCCTCCATATCTTGCTTGTCTGTCAATGAGGGAATGAAGGATGATGCTGCGTTTTGCACTCTTATCCGCTTTCAAGAACAAGATGGTATGAATCATGGGGAGCCAGGGCGCTGTCATTTCCAGCTTTTAGCAGAATAACTTGATTTTAGGTACGTAGCATTCACACACAGGACTGTGTCTTCGCAAGCAGTTTGAACCAGTTGAAGTGTAGACTGAATAAATGTACTCAATTCTGCACCATTCCCTCTGTCAACACTTGTGTTAAAGAGGCAGCACCTGTAATGAGATCATGTTGGTCAATATAATGTGATGCACGCACACCAACCAAAAAACTAAAAAAACTATTCAGTTTGATCAATTCCTTTTCTCTTTCCTTTTGTAGCTTTGTAGACATAGTCCAAGCCAGAGTGGGGGAAGGTCAGTGCTTTTGTGGTTAGTGGACGGCATTCATTTAGATAAGGCTTAATTGATAGCTGCTTTAAGCCAAATAGGGGAATCCATGTGGATGAGATGTCTGAAGCTGTTATTGAGAGTGAATGAACTTTTTTCTGCCTTTATGAAAAATAGCTTTGCTTTACTTTAGTATATGGAATTGAAACATGGTTTTTACTATCTGTCTGCAACATCATAAAGTGCCCGTTGGCTATGTAAATAAAATTTGCAAATGAGGAAGAAACCTTTGTATGGTGTGTCAGGTATATTTTCAGTGCTGCCCTGCTTCTATTAAAAGCAAAGGCAAAAGTTTATTGGCTCCCATATGATTTCTGAAATCCTGTAGTATTTTAGATGTTGATTCCTCAAATCATGTGCGTAAACCAGCTTGTGTCTATGATAGTTCTGCTGACATTACACAGACACATTTCTGTCGGTGATATTTTATCAATAATCTACAGGTCTTACAATACATTTAAATACATTTACTCCACTAATTTAATTAACGTAGTGTCGAAGTGTTTCGAAATAATATGAAATTATAACTAGTTGGATATTTAATAACTGCATTTTTAACATCTAGGAAAACTATTGCTGGATAATTATTTAGAGAATAGCACTGGAAAACATCAGATGAATTCTGACCGTGGTGTGTGTAGTGTGAGACATTTTGAGGTAAAATCATAGTTTAAAACCAGGCGTCTACTTTGGGTTTGTTACCAAAACCCATGGGTAGAAAGGCAGAGATGGATGCCTGAGGCATCTACTGCATAACTGCCTGTTATTCTCTGATAATTCATCTGCGTGTCAACATGAAATGTGATTTGTCAGATGAATTTAATATTCTAACCATCTGATTTTTTTCCTCTTTAGGTTGCAGCAATTTATAAAGATTCAAGTATTGGAAATCTTATAAATATAGTTATTGTAAAGTTAATTGTAATTCACAATGAGCAGGTAGGAAAAATATTTCTTAAATTTCAAAACGTGTGAATTTGCCTTATAATTCCAAACATCAAAATCTTTTACATATATATTTTTTTATTTAACCATATATTTACATTGCCATTTATATCTACATTACTCTAGAAGAGAAGAAACAGCAACTTTCTTAGAGGGCTTTTGCTGAGAGTTTTCAGCACTAACAGAATATTTTTAATTGTAAGAAGCGTGCATTTTTCTGGTGTATGTTTTAATACTTATTTATCATAATTATCTTGCCACCCTATTTTTCTGTACCTAATACATGATGCATTGATTAATAAGATGGGTTCTCATGACTGATTATTTTTAGCTAAATTAAGATCCTGATTCTGCAAACAAATTTGTGCCAGTGGAATCTTTCTGACTTCCTTCCATAGTTGTGAAGATTAAGGCCACAAATAACAAAATATCGAGTGCAAGTGCATGAACATTACAACTGTTTTTTTGTTTCTTCAATATTCCCTAGGAAGGACCAACGATCACTTTCAATGCAGCTACCACTCTTCGTAATTTTTGTATATGGCAGCAAGCACAAAATATTTTGGATGATGCTCACCCTTCTCATCATGACACGGCTGTTCTTATCACTAGGTATGGTATTGAAAGAGACAATTAGCTGGCTAGATGAGACAAATGCTTCAACTTCTTTCTTACCTCATCATATTCAAATGTTCACTGATAAAGTTTGTAGTTAATTGGAGTGAAGAAAGAATATCTTACTCTTCCCTCACCCCAGGTGATCACTAGAAATTTAGACCTGAAATTTTTAGAAGGAATTAACGTCTTTAACCATTGTACATGTATGTGACAGGGTCATGGTGGTGTAAATACAGAAATTAGCTAATGCTAATTAAGTAATGATCGGTGCCTTATAAGCTAGGCATAATTAGAACTATCAAAAACTCACAAATGGAGAATGTTAAATACTGTGTGTTTTTCCTGTACACTGATCTCAGTGGAAGCTCTGATGCTCATTTATTGAGATATATTCTGTCCTGTTCCTTTTAATTTTTTCTCCATGTTCAAATTGGACTTAATTTTGCTTAAAACAATGTTTGATATTTGCCTTGAATTTTACATTATTTTTGCAGCTGCTCTACTTTATGAGGTAATGTCATGTATGCTGGAATCTGCACATTTTCAGCAGCATTTTACAGTCTCATGTTAGAGAAACAGCTTATCAAGTTTAACAGCATAGAGAAACAGCTTAACAGTTTATCAATTTGTAGTCTTTGCAAGCTAGATAGAAAGTAATTCTGTGGGCTTTGTTGAATGTAAATCACTTCTTTCACAAGAATGCAAATTCTTAGAATGGACTGCAAAATTAAAAATTTAGAATTGAGATTTGCTATTGCTGTAACTTATGTAGCATCAGTGAAATACTTTTAATGGAAGTATTTTTCATTTGCTTGTAATTTTTCTTTTAAGGGAAGATATCTGCAGAGCTAGAGAGAAGTGTGATACTCTAGGTGAGTTATACCTTTTCTATCAGTATGATTTTACAGCAAAATCTGTAGAAGGATTTTATTGTAGTATTTACGAAAAAAATCCAAAAATAGATATAAAATTTAACTGGCAGATGAAATCATTTCAGAGCTGTTCCACACATACTGTGATCTTGGGTGGTAGTTGGTTTTGTGTAGATCTGGTTGCATAGCTTACGCGTGGCTTTTTCAATTCATGTGCTGTAGTGTTCGCTTATAGAGTCATTCCTTCATGTTAAAACTCCTTCTATTAAGCTTTTGTAAAAGAATTCAATTTTCCAGGTTTGGCAGAGCTAGGTACAATGTGTGACCCACTACGCAGCTGCTCTATAAGTGAAGAAAATGGATTAAGTGCTGCTTTTACTATAGCACATGAGCTTGGGCATGTGTAAGTACCTATTTCCCAGCAGGTAATTTTATTAAATTTCTTTTGAATGTGACCAATTTCCAGGGATGTGTTGTACTTTTCCAAGGGTGAGTAGAATGTCTATGTACTTTTGGAATAGTCAGTGGTTTTGGCTCTTGCAGGAAGTCAGCTCTGCCTGCCACCTAGAGATATAGAAACATGAGATTTATAATCTGGCCATTGGCTAACTGGTATGATGGGAGGTACTGGATTTATCTGCCATCTTTTGTCCTTTTATTCTATCAGCTGGTTGGGACACTGGAACAAGTATCTTAGATGTTCAAAGTAGCCCTGTTAACTACTTGCATTCTAGCCATGGTAGGAGTTTAAGAAAAGACTTGTGATATAACACAGATATATTCTTCCTTCTGTTTGATCCTTTCAGAAAACAATAGAGTAACAAAGAGAAATACTTTACACAGAAAAATAAGAGGAGATGACAGCATTTTATTTTATGAAGCATACCTCATCAGTGATGGCAGAAAGATGCTATACTCTAGCTCCATGAGGCATGCCACAGTGTAGGTAACAATGGCATTACAGAGCTCAGTAGCTAGCTTGTTGGTTTTCATTCTCCTGGAAGTTCATTTAGATACATGCCATTTATCATGGTACTTAAACTGAGTTATAAAATACGGTAAAATATTTGTTGCATAAAATGATGTTGATGGGCTCTGTAGTTATCGTATATTAAAAATTATAAGCTGAATATTGGGGCAGACTTGAATATTCAGTTTAGTAGATGGATTGTTAATTTAAAATGCCATACTCCCAAAACACTGGGATTTTTGCTGGTGAGTGAAAGAATTACACAGCTGTAAAATTCTTATGTATTCAGTGTGATTGCCATAATGTCAGATAGTCATAAAATGTGAGTTCCATTGCGGTTCTAAGGTATATTCAGACTTACATCTGGGGCTTTTGCTGTTACAACAGAAGTATTTCCATTAATTATAGCTGAATTTTTTTCGGAGTTTGTTTGTTTTGCTTCTTAGATTTAATGTGCCACATGATGACAGCTTTAAATGTAAAGAAGCTGGAATTAAACATCAATACCATGTTATGGCTCCAACTTTGAATTACCATACAAGTCCATGGACCTGGTCAAAATGCAGTCAAAAATATATCACTGAATTTCTTGAGTAAGTATCAGTATAATGCATACTTTTTTTTTCAATTTTGTGTCATTCAGAAAAGGGTTAAAATTATTGTTTAAATGCCACTTTAATATTGTTTTTGGTTTTAACCACTGACTTGGAGGGCCTAAATCCCCCAGAAATTACAGATATGTAACCCTTTGGAGGATGAGTAGTTCCATGGCTACAGTAAAGTGATAATCAAAACGTAAAACTAAGACTTTAAAAATATCGTGGCATTGATTATAGAAGAGCTCTTCAGTATGATCTTAATAGGTCAGAACAGTAATTAATTCACGTGTTGTTCCTGTTTTCACAACAGCACTGGTTATGGTGAATGCCTCCTAGATAAACCGAGTGGAAGAATTTATGGTCTTTCTTCTCAGCTGCCTGGATTAATGTATGATGTCAATAAGCAGTGTGAGCTTATGTTTGGCCTTGGGTCGCAAGTGTGTCCCTATCTGGTGAGTGAACAATGCACAGACTCCTGCTTTATAGGTACTAAAAATCACTGAGATGTAGGCCTAAAAATGAAATCTCAGCCAGTCCATTGTTGTAAGAATTTTATCTTGAAGTACGTCAAAGTTTAGATTCTATTCTTAAAAGGGGAAAGAGTTCAGTGGAAAGCCTTGCTGCTCTGTTTAATAGAAATACATAGGATTAAAATCAGGATGAATTGATTTTGATTTGTACATCTGTGAGTGTAAATATAATTCCTTGAAAAGATCCAAGTTGAGTAATTTAAAACTTACTGCATGAAAAAAAGAATTATTTCAACATTTTTAAAGTTTTCACATTTTAGCCACCATATTGCATTAGCAAATTTCTTATCTGCTTTGACTGGTTTTACAAATTTATTACTTTAAAAGGAATATATTAATTCTTATACTTTTCCCAAATGTTTGATCCAAATTGCAGATTTCTTTTACTTTGTCACATATTCCTTTGTCTTTTGGAGTGTACATTTCATATAACTAATCAAATATTCTTTAAAGCAAAATTTGTGTCTGGAAAGAAAATAACGTACATAATCAACTGGGTAAATATAGAAATATTTCAAAACACAGTGTGGCCTATGTGGGAGTGCAAGATATAATAATAAACGTAGCATTATGACCTCATTCATTACTGTCAAGATGTTGAGATGATTTTGGAGCAAGTTGTCAAATACCTATACTTGTATTACACAGCTTGTTGGAACTGTTTAGAGGAGAGAATTTAAGATCATGTTCAAAGTGTATTAAGTGAAACTATTGGTGTGGTAAACTACTGTATAAAAGGAGTCAGTCTTTATGGGAATATTATAGAAAAGTGAAGAGGAATTCAGAGACCTGAAGATGGGTTACTGAAGGCTGCTTTGAGACATTTTTAATCCATAAAGTTTATTTGTCCATCAAGAATCTCTTTAATAACTTGAAAAGAAGGTTTTTTTCTTATGTTTCTAGTCAGTGTGTTTTCAAGAATAGTTCCAGTTAGTGTCTTTATCTGAGTATTATGCTCCAACTCTATTGCATAATATTAACCATAATCTCCTACATGCCTTCTTATTAAATTATCTATTGAATTATAAAATCTAAAGTAATTTATCATTTCTAATAAGATCTATTTCAACCATTCCATGTTTCTGCACAGTGTTAGGCAAAATATTTTTTTTTTTTTGGAGGGGTGAGGGAGGAGCTATCTGTACAAAATAATAGCAAATAATAGCAAAAATTAAACCCATATGGTATGAGAAAAACAATGCAAATATCTCAATAGATGTCTAAAGTAGTGTACAAGTACAACAAAGGTAATCCTTTTTTCTGTTTAGAAACAATGCAAACGTTTATGGTGCACGAGCACAGAGGGAGTTCACAAGGGATGTCGGACTCAGCACATGCCTTTGGCTGATGGAACAGTTTGCGGTGTGGGAATGGTAAGCCTTCATTTGCTTCTCAGAGCTTGTATGTGGCAAGATCATTGATGTAGATAAGAAAGACCGGTGCTTTCTGTGTGACAGTACTATTCCTGCAGTGTAATGATTGCTTAAGAAGTACCTACCTGACTTAACCTACGGAGTTTCTTTTAGTCTTACATCGTTATGACGTAGATAATATAGGTTGTCTGTTCAAAATAAGAATAATAGTTTACAGGTGTCATATTGGTGAAAAGTAGGCAGAAGACTTCAGGTGGAAGTTGCCATCTTCTCTTCTGTTTGAAAACTTCAGATAATTCAAAAAACTTGTTTGTAGTAGTGCAACAAAGATGAATTTCCTGAAAAGCAAGCACCTCCAAAGCGTATTCCCTAGTTTCTCTCGTTGAGGCTGTTTTACTGAGCTAGAGCTAATTAAGTGTGAGTGAATAAAGTACAGGAGTACAGTTCTTCGGAAAAAAATCTTTCAATCAGACTCCTGGCTTCAGAAAATATTTCTGTATTCTATCTGTTTCAGACAAAAAAACCACATGTAACTCACACTCATTGTCTCTCTTGCCTACTATAATATAATTCAACATACTTGGATTTGTAAAGGGCTGAGAAACAACTTTCACTTACACCCTACCTATATGAGGTATAGATTACATTTTTTTAATGTGAAACAGAAAAAGTGGAAACTGGACTTCTTGAACCTTGAAATGTTGCTTTATTTCATTAACTGTTTAGAGAATGAGAAGGCAGCTCACTGTTTCCTCATCTGGCAGGTTTTGGTTTTTTTTTGACTGGAGATTTTGATCTGCATCCTCTGAGTACATAACCTACAGCACTTAAAATACCTCGCACAAAGCACTTAAAATATCTTGATGGACACAGAAGTATGAATGGATGTTAGTTGAAGTCAGTGTTAATAGTGAAGATGTGAAGGTTTTAGTGTTGGATTTGCATGTAGCTAGAGACGTGAGAAGAAGCAAAACACTTGAGTTCTTTGCTAATCTAATCTTTGGCTTCTCCATGTCTCAGTTCACCACTAGCCAACAGAAATATTTTCTCACCCATCAGCTGACTATGAAAATAAGTATTTCAGAGATTTTGACATGCTCAAATATGACAGTGATAAGATTATCTTACGTTTGGCAGGTTTGTTATGCTAAGGTGCTTTAAGTAGTAGTGTGCTTGGCCAGCTTCAAGGGCTGTGGGAAAACTTATATTTTTATCTTTTAATAGTTTAATAGCTTCAAAAAAGTCTGGTTTGATTTCCATATGGGATATGCTTACTACTTTATATATAATAATAATATTATGTTATTACTAAATTTCCCCCAATAACTTTTTACCTTCGAAGATTGCCTTTTTTCTTTTATTTTTGTATTTCACAATACTTAAGTAATGAGGAGTTTGAAAATACTGCCATAAAGAATAACAATTTAATGGGTAAACAGTGTCTTACAAATGGCTTCTTTTTCTCTTGCAAAATTACGAAAAGATATTTGAAGGTTGCGAAGGAAGCTTTACTTGATTATATCTACCTGGTGATACAACATTTAACAGATATTTCAGTCAGTCATTGATCAGAAAGGAAGTTCATCATTTGTATAAACTTTATATGTAACCTTAATTCAATTGACTCAAATTTGCCAACAGCAGAGCACTTTTATACAAGAATTCAAAAGCCTACCTTATGCAATTATTGTAGTGAAACCAGTTTTCTCTAGGAAATGAAAAGCTAATTACAGTTGTTACATCTGAAAAGATGCAAGGAAGAACAGCCATTAATCTGACAAATTGTCATGCCTTCTTGTGTAAGGCACAGCTCCTTTTCTTTTGATTTTAGTGGGAGTAAGCCATGGTGATGAGTTAATGTAACTAGTATATGCTAGCACAGTAAATATATTTGTGCTTGCAACTCTTTTGTTGTGATGAATTCAAAAAATTGTATTTGAGGCATTTGCAGTTTTAGTGGTGCTGAACTCTGTTCTCTGTTGGCAATAAAAAGGCCCAGAGGGAATGGCATGGAGCTGTGTCAGAGGAGGGTCGGGTTGAGAGTTAAGGAAAGGTTCTTCGCCAAAGAGTGGTCGGGCCTAGAACAGGCTGCCCAGAGCAGTGGGGGAGGCACTGAGCTGCTGGAGTTCAAGGAGCATCTGCACAGCTCTTTCAGACATCGGCTTTGATTTTGGGTGGTCCTGTGTGAAGCCAGGAGTTGGACTCAGTGATCCTGACAGGTCCCTTCCACTAAAGTTATTCCACAATTCCATGGTTTTCAACCTACCTCCTCTTAGGAGGATAGCCAGTAGATATTTGATTCTGACCCAAAGTTTTTGATGTCCTAGATACTGATTTAGCAGCCACCTCTTTTATGAAGATCTCTTCATCTAGAGAAGTCTTCTGAACCACTGTTCCTGTTCATAATAGTAGTTTGCTATTTGTGTAACAATTAAAGTGAAACAGTGAAACAAATTTCAGAGTAATTTGGAAAAACCTTTTTACTAACAAGAAGGAATGTGCACAATACAAGCTTTGGTCCTCTTGGAAAAAATGCGCCCAGTATTTATGAGTGAGAGAAAGTTTATTACCTTTATTCAGTGCCGATATAGATGGTATGTGGGGTTTGTGTCTTTATAAATGCCCAAATAGCTGTAGAATGAATTTAGATTTTTGTCCTGAGCCCTTGGTAACATAAGGAGAAGGACACTTAAATATGTGAATTCGGACCAAGAAGAGATTATTTTGATCAGCAAGCAAAGTGCCAGCTTCTAATTCTGAGGTATATTTGCTGTTCTGTTGTTGTTTTCTATTTCCTTTAAAATCATTGTATTGTTTGACTTCCTCATGAGTGCAATAAATGTGGGGTATGTATCCTAAAGAATGATTCATTATGTGTATATGTATATGGAGAATAAGTATGAAAAATTCAGATGGACTTTAATAAAGGTGATTAGATTTTAGCTGTCTAGCTGTCTGGGAAGCAGTGGAGGATCTTTTGAGCTGTAAAAACAGTAAAAAATTTTTAAGGGTCAAACAAAGAATTTTTCCTATAAACAGGGATTTTAATGAAATATTTTTCTGATTAGATATGATTTCAGAAAAACTGAGTGTTTTCTGTGGGAGTATTACTAGGGGGAAATAAAGTATTTAGATTTTTCACAAGGAAAAAAATGTTGGAGATGTGAAAATGTTGGAAAAAAATGATTAAAATTGTGTGTTATTAGAATATATTTTAAAATAGTTGATATCATCTGAGTAACAGATGCAGACTTCTCTGAGAACCAGTACTACAAAGACTTGAGATGCTGTAGGTACAACTTCAGTTAGTTGCAATTCAATTTCTTCTGCATTACATGTTCATTTTACTAACCACTCTGTTTTCATTGTTATTCTATTGTCTAGTCCTCACTTCTTGACGTGGTCTGGTTTGCCTGATTCCATACTTGACCTTTTCTCAGAAAGCAGACACAACAAGGCTGTAAGATGTACATGTATTGGAGGAAGAAGTACATCAGACATAAATCTAAAGTGCAGCAGCAGGTTTCCATAGATTCGTTTGCAGCAGATGACACGGAGAGATTTACATTAAAACATTTATTTCAAGGTGATAAATGGGAACACTCCAAAAAGATAAATACAGCCAGAAACAGTAGTTTAGAGATTTTTGAACTTTTACATTCATCTGAGCAGATGTTCTTATCTAGTTCTTGCTCATTGGGTTATATGATGAGTATGTGTAACTAGAATCACTGTATAGCATGTTCTTGTACACTTATCTGTTACTCTTGATTCAGTTAAGTTTAGCATAGCCTGACAATTAACACTTTAATAATTTCTTTCAAACTTGCTTTCCAGGACACTTAGCAAGTACAGTAAGTTGTAAGATATATTGGAAGTACTTGAAATCAGTTTATCAAATCATTATTTAATCCATACTTAGAAGTCAAAGTGCTTGTTCTAAGTAGGTAGTTAAGAAATACGAATCTGGGTACCTGTAGATCCATTGATCCCAAACTTTGAACCTCCTTCTCATCTCTGAAGATGTAATAATTGCATGTGGATTTGGGTCGGGTTTGGGTTTGATTCAAGCAAGCATTAAGGAACATCTGGAATGCGTCTGGTGCCTGAGTTTTTGACTGTGACTCCATCATGTTGCTTCTGTAGGAATGCAGCAGTAGAATAATAGCTGAGACAAGTTTGTTGAATTGTTGAATGTTGAATTGAAGCTATTAAAATCCCAGATGTGAACATGTGCTTTGCATTTTTATAGATCAGAACAATGCTGTTGTGGGTATAAAATTTCATTTTACAACTCTCTTTTCCTGAGTTCTCCCTTCAAGCTGCTGTGAATGTTTTTGTGGAAGGATGAAGAACTTAAACGCAAGATCCTAGTGTCATATTTGGATGTTTGGATGCATTATAGGTTTTTGATGCGAGATTTAGAATACTCAGCCTATAGTTGTAAAAAGATATTTCAGATGTTAATGACAGTTCTTGGATATGCAAGATCTCTCTGTTTTCCTCATGTTTACCTTCAACTTTCATAAACTGCATTCGTATCTTTTATGTTAGTTAGTTTACCTCCTAGAGGTACTAGAAAGTTGAGGTACAAAGGAATCCTAAAGGCATCTGGAAAAAAGTAAAAGTAATAAAAACTGACAGTAAGCACTGTGGTGATATGCAGATAACACCACAACAATGCCATTATTTCACTGGTTGAGTTACAGTGTTAGTCTTAGCATCAAGTGAGTGATCTGGCCAGTTTGCTGAAACATTTAAATGGCAAGATAGATCTGGCTTTGATTCTGTGCTTGCTTTGAGCTTTTAATCATCCTGATTGATTACATTCTCAGAGGAAGACTTTCGGGGCTTGAAATACATAGACAGTGCTCGAGAGTCAGCATGACCAAGGGCCCTACAGGCAGAAATTTTACTACCAAATTGGATTAAGAGTTTGGGCATAATTCATAATGGAGAACCTGATTCTGTAACGAAGTCCTGTTTGGAGAACAAGGCCCTGGTCCTCATGGGGGACTTCAGCTATCTTGTTATCTGTTGGTAGGACAGCACAGCAGGGCACAAGTGATCTGGGAGGTTGCTGGCATGCTTTGATAACTTTGTTCTCCAAGTGATTAAGGAGCCAAAAAGGAGATGTGCTCTGCTGGACCTTATAGTAACAGTGAAGGCCTTGTTGTAAATGGGAAGGCAGTTTTGGCTCTGGTGACCATGAGGTGGTAGAGTTCAAGAACCTGAAGGTACAGAGGAGGCTGAATAGCTGTTCACAGCCGTGGATTTCAGGTGAGCAGATTTTGACCTCTTCAAGGATCTGCTTGGTAGTATACTGTGGGATAAGGCCCCAGAAGGAAGAGAGGCCAAAGAAAGCTGCCTAGTATTCAAAGATCACCTCCTCCTAGCTCTAAGAGTCCATCCCAAAGAATAGACAGAAAAAATGCTCATGTTAGAATAACTCTTGAGAAACTATATGCAACATTTAAATCAATTACTGAAAGGGTTGGTTGGAATTCTTGGGTTGTTTTATTTTCTGTGTATCCTTGAATTATTTTTCTGTGGTAGAGAGTTTAGTTGGACCAAAACCTTTAAGACTGTGGGATAATACCAAGCTGCTCTGTGCCACAGAGAGTGAAAATGCAAATCCTAAGCTTCATAAATAACAAGCAGTTGAGTTGATATGATCTGTTCAGATGATTCTCGTGACTGATCCATATATGTACTGCAGGGAATGATGGAGTATACTACTGTCAATGTGGCTGTGAGAACCCCTTCTGACAACAAATTAGATCATGAGCCTAATCCTGAGTTTGCAGTCAGTCATCTGAAGTATGGAATTTTCTCATTTGTCTATGAGCACTGTCTCTGTGTAGTTCATCCAGTCTGCTCTTTTGTGCTCAGTTGTGGGCAGTCTTCAATGCTTCAGAGGATGGCTGCAGCCAATTTTCTTCTTTCTGTGCCTAATATATATTGTAACCTTTTGCTTAACTTAGAAACCTTTTTTTGTTTGTCAACTGCACAGCACTGCCGCCATGGAATTTGTGTGAGCAGGGAAATGGAGACGCGTCCTGTAGATGGAGAGTGGGGACCGTGGGGACCTTATAGCTCATGTTCAAGAACTTGTGGAGGTGGAATCAAGAGCACCACCAGGCTCTGTAACAGACCAGAGTATGTTTTCTGTTGTTCTCCTTCATCAGAGCAGAGTAAAGGAATTATGACATAATGGTTTAGTTAAAAAAAGATGAAGATATTTTAGTTTTGTGAATTCGTTCTAAACACCAGTAAAAATTTACATTATAGTAAGAAACTTCCATTGACTGCATAATCTATGTGGGTTTCATTCTCTGTAACAAAAATCAGAGAGAACTTTACCCTTATCTTCTACAGAACAAGAGCTGCAATTATGGCTATTGGCTTTTCTTAGGAAGTAATGCCATCTTGATATTATCAGAAGGATATCACCCCAGGTTATTTTGTTTTCCCTGATGAGTAAGAGACAGTAGACTAGATCTTGATTAAATAGGTCTCTGTCAGTCTGTAGTAGCTGATGCTACCAATATGCTGTTGATTATTTTTTCCTTTCCAAGAACTTGCTAGTATGGAAGTATTGTATAACAGGATTTACAAGTTAGGAAATGTAATTTAAAATTACAGAGGAGATACTGCTTCTGTGAAAATTTTCCTGGAAAAAAGGAATTTTAAAAAACAAGGGACAACATTTTACATTTATCTGTTTTTATCAGACCAAGAAATGGAGGAAAGTACTGTGTTGGCCGCAGGATGAAATTTCGTTCCTGTAATACTGATTCATGTCCAAAGGGCAAAAAAGATTTCCGGGAGCAACAGTGCTCTGAATTTGATGGCAAACATTTTAACATCAATGGTCTTACATCTGCCGTTCGCTGGCTTCCAAAATACAGTGGTAGTAAGTAACTACAATTTTTTTTCAATTAATAAAATACAAATGTTTGTTTAACAGTAATTACTTTAACATTAATTACTTTAAAAGTAATAAAACAGACAAGAAACCTGTTGGATTTTCTTTCCAGTTTCAATGAAAGATCGCTGTAAACTTTTTTGCCGAGTTTCTGGAACAACTTCCTACTATCAGCTGAAGGACAGAGTTGCTGATGGTACTCCCTGTGGAGCAGAAACCAATGACCTTTGTGTTCAAGGCTTATGCAGGGTATTTAAATCTAAACTTACTAATTATTAAAATCAGTTTTAACAGCTTCTAGAATAGATATTGAATAAATATACACTGAAATAACCATTATTGAAAATATGTAAAACCAGATGTTTTGAATTTACTTAAGTTGATTTTAATCCCTACCAAATTAAGATCTGGAAATTGAGGCAATTAAGCAAAGCACATACAGCTGAATCTGAACACCCACAGTCTTTCCTCATTAAGCCTGATGTGTTGTTATTGTCCAAGAGAGCAGAGGGAAACTGATCTGAAATTGGTGTAAAGGGAGGAAAGAATCGTGCTGTGCGTTTATTGCTATCATATTTCTGCTATCAAAGAAGTGAAGAAGTCAGAAAATGCAAGGGTAGATAGATTACGTATTTATGACTTTATTGCAAAGCGAGGATGAACAGACCCAGGAAAGAAATCATTTAAACGTGCTTCATAGAAGTTATGGAAATGCCCACCAGATTTTGTTAAAAAATAAGAAACTGATATATTATTCATTTTGTTCAAGTTCAAGACCTTTTTGTCTATCCTAAGTAGATTTGCTGATTTCAGTGAAACTGGCTAAATTCAGAGTGAGGAGAAAATGTAGCTTTTTATTTGGCTGTATATCAAATTGAAAGAGGAAATGCCACAGAGCAGTCCTGTTTATGACTGTAGGGGAAAAAAAAAAAAAAAGGAAGTGTAAGTAAATATTTATAAATGAGAAGTGTTTCTGTGCTAGTCTACGTGTATTCTCTTTCTCGTTTTGCAGTCAGGACAGACTTAAATATAATTGATATTCATGCACATGTACATACTCATTTTAGAATTCCAAGACTTTATGTAAATACACCTTAGTTTACATACCATGTTGATATTTTTATACAAAATCTTTAAATACTTCTAGGTAGCTTTGTACAGTTCTTGGTATATTGAGTGAATTTTTTGTACTAAGGATGTATAATCCAGAACTATACTGTATACTAAATGTAAGAAGGCTTTTCATGAACTGCCAGGGAAGATTAGATATATACAGTAAATGAAAATGTTTTTGGGGAGTGGGGAACTAGCATTGTGTTTTCACTGTTTTCCACTGGGCTGAATGATACAACATTATATTTTTTTGTAGCAAGCAGGCTGTGATCATGTTTTGAATTCCAAGGCTAGGAGAGACAAATGTGGAATCTGTGGTGGTGATAACTCTTCATGTAAGACACTTGCAGGTACTTTCAACCGTGCTCGTTATGGTATGTTTGTATTTTTAAAATCTTAATGTACATTTCAGTGTGGTTTAGAAATTGTATGTTTGAGGAAATGGGATTTCAATGTATGTTCTTTTCGGCCTCTGCTAACAAAAAATATCCCCAGTTTTCACTCGTGTGCCTTTTCAAGGATGAACAGTAAAGCACTGTGACACAGTGACCCATCTGCACTATGGTGGAAAAAAAAACCAGTTGAATATTTACAGCAAAAAACATAAGTAATCTCTGGTTTCATATCAAATTCCAAAAGGCCTCTTTGTGTGGTTTCAGTGGTTGAAAGAGACCACAGGCAAAGTGAAAATGACACCTGGAGAGCTGCCAAATAGGATCTTCAGTGGACAAAGGAGTTACTGGTCAGCAGGGAAAGCATATTTAGCATCCTGCTGGATTTATTTATTTTTTCCAGGCAGAGGCCTTGTGCCATGCAAAAAGCATCAGAAAGCTTAAAGGTGGGATACAACTACTCGTTCTCTATAAACATAACTTTTCTTGTGTCTATCCAGAGATGTTGGAAGAAGACAAACAACTAATTTTATTAGAGACTGGATTCTGAATATTTGGTCAAAACACTAAAGAAGAAGAATGTAGTTTTTTGTTTTCTATCACTAGAAGTATCACACGAATTACGTCAGAAATACATTTGATACAAAAAAAATAGTATACTAAAGCTACCATTCATTCAACTATGGTAGAGATTGTCACTATGTTGTTTATCAGCTTTGTGTCATCTCAGACTTACTTCCTTCTAACTGAAATTTGTTCCACAAAGTAGTAAAATTTTCATTTTGTGCACTTTTTTTTTTTTTTTTTTACAAAATGCATCATTTCAAAAAAGAAACCTATCATTTTTATATTAAAAAGTAAATTATGAAAAATGGAAGCTCATAGTATGTAGTTTTTTTTATTTTTACAATCCACAACATAAGGTAGTCTGACTTGAAAGTTACTGTGTCATTTGCTTTCCTAGATGCTTTAACTGATTTACTGTAGTGATACGTATTCTGAGGAAATAATTTATATAGGAGCTCATATTTACACTGGGAAGCAAGATGACTACATTAATTATGCAGACTGCAATAAAACAAGTTTCCCAACTTGTTGCTATAGATAAGACAGAATGTTGTCAATTCTCAGAATCAAATAGACTTGCTTTGATTGGAAGGGATTTGTCTAGTTTCAGCACTCCTACCATGAGCAGGGTTGCCACTCACCAGATCAGACTGCCCGGGGCCCCATCCAACCTGGCATTGAACACTTCTGATGGGAGTGGGATCCACAGCTCCTCTGGGCAGCTTGTTGCAGTGCCTCACCACTCTCTGATTAAAGAATTTCTTCCTAACATCTAACCTAAATCTTCCCACTTAGTTTAAAGCCGTTTCCCTTGTCCTGTCATTATCAGACCATGTTAAAGGTCAGTTTCCCTCCTGCTTGTAAGTTCCCCTCAAGTACTGGAGGGCTGCAATGAGATCTCCTTGGAGTCTTTTCTTCTCCAAGCTGAACAAGCCTGAATCTCTCGTCTTTTCTTCGCAGAGCAGGTGCTCCAGCCCTCTGATCATCTTTGTGGCCCTCCTCTTTGTCATTTCCTTAGATAAGCTTGCCAAAGTCTGTATACTTGGTCTTTTTCTTTAATCTGTGAGTAGTGCCATTCCATACTGTCACAAGCCATTTTACTGAGGAACTAGGCAAGAGCAGCTTGTGGTACGTGCTTGTATTCATACAGTTATGAGGACAGTCATGATGTTGTCATTAAGTGTTTAAATGACAGTGAAACAATCTGAAGAAATTCACTGTAATGAAAACGCTAATTTACTAAACTCTCAGTTCAGAAAATGGTCATCTAATTATGTAAGCGTAATTGTTATGCTGGTTATAATTGCAGTAGACTAGAGATTCTGAGGATTTCCTGGAAAACTTTCCTTCTCACTGCCTTAGTATGTGATCTAGCATCCTTTTTATACTTGACAAGGCTAGGCAGTTTTATTTGTAGTTTCCTCCCGTGTTTTATCTTCTGTATTCTAGATGGTTTTCACTGTGAGAGATGAGGGCCTTTTTTGTGTGTTTTTTGTTTTTCTTCCCAACAGTATTAGAACAAAGACTAAAGGCTCTTTTTATCCTGAGCAGATAGCAAATCACGCAGTTGCAGTGCTGCCCCCATCTGGTAGTTTTGCACCTGTGATTTAGTTTAAACATTCCTTTTAAGTTTTATAGTTTTATTAGGTTAAAAGTACTGGGAAGTTAGTGAATTAAGAAACTTAAAGACTAGAAACTTAAAGACTATACCCATTTAATTTGCCTCCCATGGAAGTGAGTTAACTAACTAAAGTTCAATACAGGCAAGACTTTTAAATGCAGCAAAACAAGTGGCAAAGTTAGCAAAGATTATATTAATGCTTCAGATTGTATGTTTTTGTTTATTCTTTCCCATGTTTGCCATGTTCAGTTGTTCTTAGTCACAGTGATCCTTCTGAATCTGTAATTAGCATCTGTGAGAAACTACTGTTTTTGTGGGGTTTTTTTGTTTGTTTTTTTTTAGCCAGTACTTAAGTACAGAGCAACAGATCTGAAAAGTAGATCAGTACGGATCTGATTTTGTTACCTGGAGACGAGGATACCGTAATACTGATTGGAGATATTATAGGAAACAGTGACTCATTTGTGAAGCATTTTTATTCTAGAGAATGCTCAGCATGATAACACTTGTAGTAGCAGAATGTGGATCTGACATAGCTCGTTTGTCTGGTACATCTACGTCTATTATAACACTGCACTGTTTGAGTATTTAGGACTTGTTCTTTAGAGTGCTGCAATGCAGTACTTTTGTAAGATAGGGAAAGCCTAACTCAGTTGTACAGAGAATGGAAGTAATTTAAGTGATTCATTTAGGTATGTATGAAAGTTTTGTGTCTAAATTGTGAGAGAGTTTCCTGAGTCCCACGTGATATATGGGACTGCTCTCTAGGTGAACTCGTGTTATTGTTAAAGAATAGAATTCGCATTTCTGAACACAGGAATGAATTTTAGCTGTCTTTTCAGTTATGAAAAATAAAAATTCAATTCAACTGACTTAAAGAAAAAAGATACATAAAGATATTCATATTTCCATCCTGAAAACATGAGGGTATTCAGAAGCAATGGTTGCTTGTGCACGATAGAGTTTGTTGACTAAAAGTAGTTAAACGTATGCTCGTATCTGCCAACATCTGAGTATTTTTATCTGTGGTTAATTTGTGAAAAATTACATTGCAGGTTACAATGTTGTAGTACAGATTCCCAAAGGAGCAACAAACATTGATATTCGGCAGCACAGCTACTCAGGGAAACCAGAAGATGACAACTACCTTGGTAAGGACCTCCAGCGTACAGCACTGACAGATGATAGCTTTCGTGCTCATGTCAGAAGTCTGCTCTAGACACATGTTGTCAGAAGCTCAATAAAGTCTTCAGAGTAAATATGTAATTACATTGTATCACCACTTGCCTGACTCTCTGGGTAGGTGTTAATTTTAATAATAATGAGATGATGGTAGGTTTCTGATTCCTGAATGTCTCACTTGTCAGAGAAGACAAGTTATAGCGTGATACTGTATGATTTTGTCAATTTTTGAGTTTGTTGTGGCCGTGATAATTAAATCATCATGAGCCAGCTAAAGAGCATTTGAGTTTATAAATATTGAAAACATATTTAGAAATGAAGCAGTCAGCAAGCTTACCAGACTTCTCATGTTTTTTCTATTTTTCTGTCATGTCTGAGTGTAAAGATAATATTTTGATAAATTTATTTATGAATTTGTGAGTATGTGATAGAAACAAAGAAATCACAAGTGAATGATACCAAAGATCTTGGTTGTTTTATTTCAGTGTAATCATGTTATCTCTGAAGTGCCTGAGAGTAGTATATTGATGCATAGTTTCTTTCTCCCTTTTTCCATTGTTTTATTAATGTTTACTTTGCTATTCATCTTTGCTATTACAATATTATTTTATACAATATTATTATTATTATTCTGAATGCATAATAATTCCCTTTTTCTTACTTTAGAATTTACTTTTAGTAGCTAATTAAAAATAGCTCCAACAAATAAAAGAATGTGCACTGTAGAAATATGTAGATGTTTGAAATACATAGAAATATGAATGATGTTTATTCTCTTCTTCAGTACCTAACTAAACTAATCTAAACTAACTAAATTTAAAGTGTGACTGTACTCAGCTTTCAGAAAAACAAATATTATTAAACGTATTATTGCAGAGAAATGACAACTGCTCAAATGAAAGCTGCCAATGGTTGAGATGGAATTAATGCATTAGAAATGTTTGATACAACTTTAAAATCTTACATGTGGACTAAAACATGGCAGTGTTGATGCAAAGGTATATTTTTAGAAGTTTTGATAGAAAGAAACTTCTAATTAAAATAGAAGCTTTACTTACATATTTATTTTACTTACAGCATTATCTGATGTTCATGGGAATTTTATCTTGAATGGAAATTTTGTTGTAAGCATGTCAAAAAGAGAAATCAACATACATGGAGCAATTTTTGAGTACAATGGTTCAAACAATACAGTAGAACGAATTAACAGCACTGATAGGATTGAAGAGGAGTTAACCTTACAGGTGAATATTTACCTTTTTTCATGAATTTGAAAATTGGCTATGTGGTCATTGTGTTCACAATCTTATGTCATGCTCAAATTTACTGAAAAACAGTTATTTTATCTCAATTAAGGTTTTGTGTGTAGGGAATTTATACAACCCTGATGTGCGTTATTCATTCAATATTCCAATAGAAGACAGAAGTGATCTGTTTACGTGGGATCCCTATGGACCCTGGCAGGACTGCAGCAGGATGTGTCAAGGTAGTGTAAATTCTTCTGACGTCAGATCCAAAGAGCTGAGGGCATTTAGGATGGCACTAGTCTTAAGTACTCAGATTTTGTTACGTCTGCTTGTAAGGAAGAAACTCAGCATTTTCAGTAAACTTTAGGTGCACATAGCATTTAAGGGCAGAATGTCTTCACTTTTTCTCTTTTCAGTATAATTCTGTACCCAGAATTATGTTTGTGTTCCCTCCCTTTTTAACTATGGGAGTGGTTCATAGAAAGTAGTTGAATCAAGTCTAGTACATCCTTCGTAATTGTATGTCTACTAAGATATATTTAGCAGCTGTTACAGTACTTCCAGATGGTGACTGACTGGTTTGCCTGGTATTTTTCATATGTTTTTCTGTGTTTTGGTTATCTGCTACTTTAAGTGGAGCTATTTGGAAATATAAATTTAAACCAATATTCCATATGCTATTACAGCCTAAAAATAGAGCCACAATATGTATAAAGTGTATCTATGAAGTGTGTGTGCTCAGATTTTTTTTAATAGATTCTATTAGCAGGTGCTTTCCCGTACTTGAGATAGATGGTGAATTTCTGCCAATTTTGAGTCAGGCTGAAGACATACTCATGTGCTAGAGAAGCATAACATCTGCCAACTGTGGTACTTCTCCAACCTGAAAGACTCCAGGTCTTTTAGGTACTTTGTGCTCAAACTTTCTCCTTCCTTAAAGAAAGGATCATGACCTCTTAGGTAACACAGTGGCAAATGTGATTAGGATGAGTCTGTTCTCACCAGGAAGGTAGCCAGATGCACAGAGCAGCATGGTTCAGCAGATTTTACTCTATACAAAGATTAATGCTAATGGAGTATCTCAGCTAAATTCCTAAATGATGAATGAAATCCATTATTGTAAAAAGGCTCTCTTATTTCCACCTGCTTTTCACTTCTTTGCAAGGTATTAGAAGAAGAAGAATGACGTGCATACGTAGAAGTGATCATGTGGTTGTGTCTGATCAAAGATGTGAATATATACCTCCTGTTCCAGATGTCTCTGAAGAGTGTAATACGGAGTGTGAATTAAGGTAAAAAGAGTTTCTTCACTAATTGAACTACTGTGGTCTTTCTTACTTTTATTGATAGAGATTGAAACGAAGGAATTGACTGCTTTATTCTTCCTTCCTCCACTCCCTCTCCTTCCATCATCTGTCACTTCTCCAATCTTTCCCTCCTTTCTCAAATCTGTGTGTGTGTGTGTATATATAAACTATTTATATAGTTGGTTTATACAGTAGGCCTACAGTTCTGCAATTAAGTAGAATTAATGTGTTTCTTTTCTAGTTTATATTCATAAAGCTCAAAAAAATTGTTTTACTGAACAGAATACGTTTTTTTACCAGAACTGTACCTACTGTAACTGAAACTAATTTGGAACACAGGTTTTTTTTTTTTTCCACTCCAAGAAAGCCCTCAATGAAGTGTTCAGAACATAAAGGTTAGAATTATAGCTTATATTTTTCAAAATCACCTGGGAGTTTTAGACAGGTCCTTTAAAGATCCTGTAAATTTAAAAAGATGTTTTTAAAACTGGGTTAAGTTCTTTTATATTGCTTTGAAAATTCCAGTCGTGACTAGCTATTCCCTAAAATGCAATTCTAGGCACTTTCTCTGAGTGCTTAATTAACTTAATAAATCATAGTTAGCCTTTCTATAACAGTTTATCTTTGCAGGTGGCACAGCATTGGCAAAAGTGACTGCACATCAAAGTGTGGCCCGGGGTATCGATCTATAGAAATCCACTGCATGAAGTACTCCGTTTCAAAAGGACTCAGTGCCCTGGTGGATGATAGATACTGTGCTGATCAGCAGAAACCACCAACCAGAGAGCCCTGTCATGGCGACTGTATGTTAACAAGCTGGCACTACACAGAATGGTCAGAGGTATGAATTCAAAACCTTTGTAATTATAGTGTTGTAGTTCTAGTTAGTGTTCGTAGGAAATCTTGGTTTCTATTTATATATATTTTTCAGTTTAAATAACTAAAAGAAAATAATGCTTGACAAATCCAAAATGGCCAAAGGTACAAATTCAAAACCTTTTAGCATTAGACTTCTAATTAGTGCTCATAACAACTCTTGTTTTTTTCTAAATATATATATATATATTTAGTTTAAATAACTGAAAAAAAAAAATAACGTTATATGAATGAAATGTTGTTGGAAGAGGTGATACCGGACTCTGGATTTTGGTAACTGCTGGACATGATTCCTCATACTCTTGTAGGAAGCTCTAGCTGTCTACACTAGTTCACAGCTTGTATTTAGAAGTCAGCAGAGAATATCAGGGCATATTTTATTTGGAGCCTTAGTAATTTAGTACTGTGTGTACTGGAGAAAAAGAGTACAGTTTCAGCTTTAACCTTCATTAATGAGTTTTGTATTGGAGCTGCTAAACAAGGTGCCAAGTTTATCTCAGGTGAACACAGTAGCAATGTTTAACTTTGATGTAGCTACATTTGTCTAGCACTGTGCTTTTCACCTCAAAGACCAGTAACCTATTTTGACCTGTGTTTTTCCTGCTATGCTTCCTATTTCATAATATCGTCTGAATGCTCAGTGCTCCAGGAGCTGTGAAAGAGGCGTCAGAACCAGAGAGGCTTTCTGTTTGAACAACTTGGGTCGTCATCTTCCTGACAGAGAATGTCAGGAACTTCCAAGAGTTGTAACACAGAGTTGCAATGAATTCTTGTGTCCAAGCTGGTCTGCTAGTGAGTGGAGTGAGGTAATGAATTATGTAAAGTTTAAGACTCCTTTGGGCCTGATCACCAATATAAAAATAATCTGAACTGTGTTTTTTGTTCTGGTTATTTTGGAGCACATGAAAGTGTTATAGGACTGCACTGATGTACCTCTCAGGTGTACAAACAGCATGAGAACTTCTGAAAACCACACCTAGATTTAATTTTTTCTCAGAAATTTAATTACATTAAAGTGATATAGCAAAAGCTCCTTTATCTGGTCATACATGTGCCTTTCTTTTTTTCTGAAGCAATGAACCTTCAGCCAACTGAAGAGCAGAATTATATCCATTTCATTGTAGATTTTATATATGTAATAGAATGATGGATGGCTTAAACAGGTTCTCAGTGAAAGCTGTGACATGTGCACTCATATTTTAACTAAATGTTTTTGTTCTATTGAAAATAAGCAAGTTGTACTTTGTTTTCATATTTTATGGCTTTAGAAACTTAATAGTGATTATTTATATTATGTGTTTGAGTTGATGTTTACTAGAAATGGAGAACTCACACAATAACTAGTTCTGTTGCATGAAGTACATTCAAGGAATATTTTTGTGAATTATGTAATCTTCAAAATCCTGCAGCTTGCTATAAAGAAGTGAACTCTTTACAACCTGATTATTATTTTACAGTGCCCTGTGACATGTGGCAAAGGAATGAAACATCGACGAGTATGGTGCCAACTTAATGATGAACAACTGAGAGACGATTTCTGTAATCTGAATGATAGACCAGGATCAGTAACACCATGTGAACTTCCTGAATGCGCATCTTGGCAAGTAGGCCCTTGGGGAGCAGTGAGTACATAAGTATTTCTGGCTCTTTGTTGCTATTTCAGACCATGAATGATCACAGAACAACACCTTTTATGCATTTTAATTGGAACTTAAGCAGCTATTTGAAGGTGTATTGGTTCACATGTTTGTTTGGTTCTATTGACCGTCTAGCCTGTAATTTAGGAATACCCTCATGTAAATTAAATGCTTCAAGTAGCCACTAACTTTGAGCCTTAATATAAAAAATTACTAATGATATTTCTCATTAACATGTTTCATCTCCAAAATAATGAAAATGTAGATAGCATAGCATTCAAATGAATGAGAAAAGTAAAAGACCAAGTATTTATAGTTGCACCAGCATGTTTAATTTATAGCTTGAATTAAGATAATTGAAGTGTATATGCTAAATAACAGGAAACAAGTTGTTTATCCCAGTCTGTTGCACACCCTCCAACATACTGCAGGGGGCAGAGTGGGGAAAAGGAGGAAGTGGTGATATTTTGCAAGTACTGTTGTGCAATAACCAAAATACTGTTTTGTTGTGAACGCTGTTTTAACACCATATGGTCTGATGTGAAGAAATTTATCTTCATCCCAATACGTGTTCCTATTTATGCTAGAGAGTTTTGAAATAGAAAATGGAATGAAAAAATAATTTTGTTTAAACATAGTGCTATTTCAAATGTGTGACATTCTTAACAGTGTACTGTAACGTGTGGACGTGGATACCAGATGCGTGTAGTCAAATGCGTTACTGGGACTTACAGAGTTATTTTGGATGATGACAGAGAATGTAATGCTGCTACTCGTCCTAGAGATAACCAAGTAAGTTAAGAAATAACTTCCAGTTGGTTGAGCATCTTAGCTGAAAGCATCTAAACACAAACATTGTCTATTGACTTCTTGGAGGAACTTACAAGAAATGAGTTCTAGAGCGAGGAAACTATATACTCTTTTTCCGTGCTATTTGACGTGGAGAATAACACGGAAATTGGAGATTTGAAAATTTGATACATGTTGAAGGGATCCAAAGAACTGATTATTTGTAAATACATTTTTTTAAAAAGCTCCAATTTGTAGAATAAATTAGGGTGACTGCTTGCTGTTGTACTACGTAATCGCACCTAGCTAGATTGGAGTTCTGCTCCAGAATTCTGTTTGTTCTTTAAAGATAGATGTACTTACTTGAGGAAAGCTTTGATAGTGGAAATAGTAATTTAAAACTCTGTAGACATGAATTGTATATGGTTCAATATGGTATTAATATGGGTCTCTACACTTCCTCCCCATCTCTGTTTAATTACTTTATCTCTCCTTAATTTAAATCTATTGTTTTTCAGAAGAAATGTCTACAATAAGTTACATACATACAAATGAATAGCAATTAATGTTAAACATGCTACATATTAGTTTGTTGATCTGGCTACCAGATTGCATTTACATGCAGTTAGGCAGGTAACCACTTATCTCTAGGAGGGCAGGCTCTGATTCTGATCTTTTTTTTTTTTGAGAGCAAAAAAAAAAATAGGGTATTGGGATCCAGAATATACCTTGCACAAGTCACCAGCCTACTGATGGCTTCTTGAATAAGATTCCAAAATGTAAAAGCCAAGCAATGAGTACAAATTAATTTCCTCTCCACTCAAAATTGGTTTGAGTATGCTTCATATTTGGGGTTGTGATACTTCTTCATCCGTTGACTGAAACTGAACAATTTATTGTTATTGGTAACAGAAGGTATGAAGGACAGCAGAGCTGCTTTTTTCTCTCTGTTCTGTATTGCACGTGGCTCTGAAACAGAACAGTCATGTTCATGTCAACTGTCTCCAGCAAGCTACTAAATATGGCTCTTTCTCAAACTGCAAATATTAGCTATTACTAATTCAGAATTAACGTTAAATAGATTGTCTTCACCTCTCTATTTAAAACAAAACAATTTGTTAAAAACCTTTGAATAATGCCACTGAAAAGTAGATTTACTGGTTAATTAATGCTGGCATATTGTAGTAAAAGGGTCTGTCATTGTGGGAGCCATCTGCTTTACATTTGGCTTTTCCTAAACTTAGATTTTGAAAGCTTTTTTTTTAAACCCCATAGGAATGTGAATTGCCCTCTTGTCCAGAAACTACAAAATTATGGACTACATCGTTTCCTCTAATCCATGTAGGAAAGGTGACCCAATGGCGATATGGATCATGGACCCCAGTATGTAATGTAATGGTGATCACAGCCATCAGAGCTGTTCTCCATTCTTTCTCCCATTTTCTGTAAAACCGTCATTATTATATTTTTCAGACCAAAATCTGCTTGAGATAATTTTTAAAGAAATTCTGATTTTTTTTATTTATTTATTTTTTTTTAAGAACACGTTAGTTTGTTGTTTTTTTTTTTAAAGGAGATGGACACTTCCAGCCAATTCTTAAGCCTAGCCAGGGGAAATAAAAGAAAAACAAGTGAGTGGGGTTTGAGAGGCTGGAGTTGTGAGCAGACTAGTTTTGATATGATTAAGAACGTTCAAGGAGATGTTTTAAAATAATTGATCATTTTGTGAGAATGGAAAACATCTTTCATTCAAAAATATGATTTACATCTTGTATACTTGAGTAACATATTAAATTGTTTATATCTTTAAAGATCCAATTATACACAACTTCTAAAATAAGCAACACAGACCCAGCTGCCATATGCACTAACTCTGTTTAACCAAAGAGTGTTTAATTTTCATAGTGATGAAAATTAGTTGTATTTGACAGAATTATAAAACTTTAAAATCATCTGTAAAAATGTACTTGTCTGTTAATCCCATGAGGTTCTTAATGAGGCATATAGCAATTACATTTTTGCTGAAAAGGCTTTAACAGAACAGTAGTAAAGAGTGCATAAAGTGGAGCTACATAGAGGCTCTCTACTAAATCCCCATGGTACTTTTTATCTATAAAGACATCTAAAGGGGCTCAATGGATTATGTTAATATGAATTAGAATGTGATTACCAGGTTTTTATTACATCAGTTCATGTAAATGTTGCATCACTATGGAACAACTAGATCGTTCTGGAAGCTGCTCTCTAATGTTTCTATTGTTAGTGAATTTAAAAATTCCCTTTGCAACTGTATAATGATTCCATATTAGAGTTTAAATGTTTCCTCTTAAATATGCTGAATTACTTTCTAGTAAGGCTCAGCACTTCAGTTTCAATCCTAGAGGAATTCTTAAGACCAAAACCATTCTTAAGACCTAGCAATATTCACTTCCTTCCTGAGTGCATGCCTCTGTACTTGACACTCAGGTATCACTGTGAGTTGGAAGTCTGGTTGTCAGTGATTAATATTAAAGTCACGCTGATACTAAGCTATGCTAGCATTTTTGATGCTTGCTTGATCTCTCTGATCTCCTGGAATGCAGTTAACATGGATTGTCCTCTGACAGTGTTCAGCATCCTGTGGGAAGGGTGATCGTGCTCGCTATGTGAGCTGTAGAGATGCTCATGGAGGAATAGCAGATGAGTCTTTCTGTGCTCATTTGCCACGTCCAGCTGAGGTTTCAAGTTGCTTTAGCCCATGTGGAGAGTGGCAAGTTGGAAACTGGTCCCCTGTAAGTATTGCTCAGATTGTTGTTCTTTTTTTAAATGTATAAAAAACTGGAATTTCATATTCTGTACATGCATGTTTTATATTGTCAAATGTAAATGTCTTTGATTATTAGCTGTCAGTGTTCTGTCACAAACATTGGATTAATTTTTGGTCAGTGCACAGTTACATGTGATAGTGGAATAATAACAAGACAAGTTATCTGTGTCAACTACCATCAACAAATCAACGAGAATTACTGCGATCCTGAAGGCCGTCCCTCTAAAGAACAAGAATGTAACATGCCACCATGTTCACCAGTTTATCACACTCCGAAAATACATGAGCATCCAAGTCATTTTCCAGAAGCAGGTTATCCTCCAATACGTCATCCGCTAGACAGTGTGAACCAGTGGAATCATCCTTCTGTAGGAGGATATCAATGGAGGACTGGACCCTGGGGAGCAGTAAGAAAATTTTGTTTTTCTATGTTAATTTATCTCAGTTGTGAATATACATTTGGAGAAATGTTATCGCTGCACAGAGTTGGTGAAAAGTACATTGTTTTAAAAAGTACCATTATGAAAAATATATTCGATTTAAAATCTGTGCAATTTCAACTTTCAAACACTTCTACATGATAATCCCTATTTGCAAATTTCCAGTTTTGAATGCTAATATATCTTTTTTAAGTTGTTTTAAGCAACACAGTATACATTTTTCTAATGATACAACAGTGATATTTGTCTCTACATGTTTTGGTAGTGCTCTAGTACTTGTGCAGGTGGATTTCACCGTCGAGTTGTAGTATGTCAAGATGAGGAAGGAAGAAGCGCTAGTTATTGTGATGAGGCAAGTAAACCTCCAGAGTCAAGACACTGTGATTCTGGACCCTGCCCACGATGGAACTATGGAAACTGGGGAGAAGTAAGACCATTTCATTTTCAAGCGGAAACATTGCTGCATAAGCTTAGAAATAGTATCAAAATAATTTGAATGTGAATCGAACCGTTCTGTTAAGTTTTGAAAAATAATGAGTTTCAACGTGTTTATTTATAATTTATTCTTTGATGAAATCCAGAACTGTAGTATAAATATAGGTAGCATAAAAATAAGTCTAAAAGAAGTATTCTAAGTTAAAACTGGCTTATCTGGCATTCTAAGATTACCTCTTATGTTTTATGCCCTCTTCTCTTATTCTTGATACACTAATATCTAGAAGCCTAGAAAATAAGACAAAATGAGTGATTTCCTGTTTTGGCCAGATCTAGCCATTTAGTTCTCAAGGACAGTCTGAGTGTTGTTTTGTGTTTATTCTCACAAATAGTTATTTTTCTTTGGTAGGGTAGACTTTCTGTAACAGATGTTTTATAGACATTCACTTGATCAACTATTAAATTGTAGTTTTGTAAATTTTTGATGAAAGAATAGTTTTTTCTTTATATGAACTCAAACTGTACATCTTTTTTCTTGAATTGGATATCCAGGGAATGCTAATGTAGGCGTAGTAAGTATCAGCATGTATTTATTATCACGTTAATAGTATTTGATGACTTGCAACAAAAATTTTGTGTATAAATTTCTATGTTTTAGTGTACCCAAACATGTGGAGATGGAATAAAGACAAGACTGGTGATATGTCAGCTTCCTACTGGCCAAATGCTGGGTGATCAAAACTGTGAAATTCTAGACAAGCCACCTAATATGGCACAATGTAATGTGCATTCTTGCCCTGGTGATGTTTCATGGCATCGGGGACCATGGAAATCGGTACGATAGCATTCACTGATATTTTCTGCTTTCTGTTCTTTCTGTCACTCTATTTCCCCACGGCTTTCGAAAGTTGTATTATTATTTTATTTGGCAACAATGAAATAATAGTGCATGCGGAACACAGTCTGTATTTTTGTTAAGCAAATGCTCCTGCTGACATTGAATTAAATGGGAAATAGCCATTTTCTTCAATGGGAACAGGTTTCATGTTCTGTAAAATATCATACAGAGTATTTTGAAAATTGACATGAATAATTATCACTGATAGTGATACCTACTGGGTTGATCTGTTCCGAAGAGTTATGTTTGATCTGTTTTAATTTAAAAGTATATGCTGTAATTTATACGGCAGTATTACCTGCATATTTATATTTGTAAAAAACAAAAACAAACAAGTCTTTTTAGTACTTAACATTTATCTATTAGTATATTTAAATATAAGCTATTTCGCTTATCTATATTACACTTTGTCACAAAACAGCATTTTACTCCATATTGAATGTACATTTGTGTATAAAGGTTTATATTTGTGGTTTTAAAACAATGACTAATTAAAGTTGTGTGTGTATAATTATGTATGTAACTATAATATGTTATTGTCTATATGTCACTGTCTATTAATGTATTAAAATGCTTACAGTAATTACCATTGATCTTTAAAATTGCCACTAGCAGATAATTCACATTAAGAAGCACTCGTAGCATATTCTGCAGAAGAGAGAACATTATATTCCTTCTAGCTATGAATGCGACAACAATATTTATTAGTTATTGTGCTCAATTTTAAAGAGATTAATGGCAAAGGTGTGTGGATCTAATTCTGATTCCATTCAAAATTATTCCAAAAATGTCATTAACATCTCTGAAGGATGGGCTAAGGATACAATTCTTTACATTTATCTTAATAGGATTCTGTAGTTTCATTCTTTGAATTATCATAGAAACATTTCTTTTTAAATATTGTCCAATTTCAAGTTTGAATAACTGATTAGTGTTTATATAATCTATTCTTATTTATTGCAAATAGAGTTTACCATGGAAGTTTGAATTAATAAGCTCTCCCAGTTACCTCTTCCACTGTGCAAACAGAATTTTGGTTTTATGTTTAAAGGATACCAGAGTATCTTCTTTAGCTGTTATTCAAATAACTGGAGATGACTTACTGTTTAGTAGTTCTTAATTAATGTACGTACTTCAGGGGCCAAGAAGGTAAGCAGGGCTTACATACAGACTATTGGAAGCAAGGGAATTTTTAAGCACTTGCTTCATGAGGGATAACTTTGACCTCACTGAATGCTGGCTTTGTCTCTGCCCAGCCAGTTCAGAGTGGGTGTAAAAAAAATACTTAAAAAACCCTTTTTCTCATTTAGCTTTAGTTTTTTTTTTTTTCTAAGCCATATCTGAACTAAAGCTTTAGCTCTCTGATTATTCCAGGTTTTTCAGAATTTCCTGTTGAATTTTATGTTCAAGTGGAAATAGATTCCCAGTATCTGCAAAGATTTTTCTGGAATTTATCCAGACTAGAGTAAAACCCTGATCTACAGCAGACCACGATGAGCTGGCGTTTAGTGATTTATAATGCAAGGCTGCTTGAGCAAGTTTAATTCTTCCAAGGGAAGAAAAGTTATTAAAATTATTCAGAGTTCAGTTCTTCAAAACAATGTTTATCTTCCAAAGCAATAAATGAATGTCTTGAATACCCATTTCCTTATCCGAATTTAATAGTAATATTCAGAGATATGAGAGGCAGGCAAAAGCACTTCTAGTGTTTGCTCTGGGAGGAAAGGCTTTTGCGATGTCCAGTACGCGCTTACAAAGCATTTCTTCTAGGACTTTTTAGCAGTAAATTTTGAGGATTTATAACTATGCAATAGAAATAACAATCCTGGATGCAGAAATTTCTGTGACTGGCTTGTATTTCAAAGAAGGCAGCTTTTGACTTCAGAGAATTAGGTAATTATTGATTAACTTTAATTCCATTCTATTGATGTAGTGAACATTACAAAAACCACTTAGCACAGATTCTGAATGTCAAAGTGAGATATGCAACGTGTTAGGGTATCTTTCTACCTTTAGTGCAAGCTAGGTACTTCTGTTTCAGGATAACAAGCTTGTTTATACTTGGTTCTAACTCAGAAGCAAGAAAATTTATTCTAGCATGGGGAAAAAAAAACTTCAGCTAATGTTCAGTTCTGTTCCAAAAATTACCATTAAAAGTATTTATAGTTCTTCATCTTGGGATAATGCTTTTTGTACATACATTATGAATAATAAGCTACTACTAATTGTACAGCATGAGAGAAGAGGTAAATTATGGCTCAAGCATAAATTAATGTAAGCAATTATTTAATTAATTTTAATCAGAATCACAAACATTGACTGAATTCTTGAAACTGTGATTAAGTCCATAATTTACATATTTGTAACATCCAAACCAGAGAAGGACTCTCGTTTTACAAGCAAGAGTGCTAGGAAACACACCCTTTTGCTTGAAAGATTAATTCATTTCATCTGGAGGTCTTGGAGAGACTCTAACAATGTTTTATTTGTAGAATGTAGCTTACTTTTTTGGCTTTTTTTTCTTCCAACCAGGAACTGAATAATGCTGTTCCTTTTCTTGTCTTTGTATCAAATTTCAGAGAAAATGGAGTGAGTTTACACAGTCTCTGCTCTCAAGGGACTCTCAATGACTGTCTTGTGTGCAACACTGGAACAGGTTGCCTAGAGGTGGTAGATGCTCCATTCCTGGAGATATTCAAGGTCTGGCTGGACCAGGCTCTGACCAACCTGATCTAGCTGTATGTGTGTAGGTGTCCCTGTTCCTTGCAGGGCATTTAATCTAGATGACCTTTAAGGATCCCCTTCCAGCTCAAATGATTCTATGGTGCTATGAATATTCATGACAACTCCTAATGTAAGTGAAGTTGATACAATATTGTAGAATCATCCCTAAATTCAAATATTTCAAGATAATAATTTAGCCTGATTGGCTTAGATCTAAGTACACTACCTCAATTTTGATATGTGCAAATTATGATATATACATATTTTGCTGTATATACATATTTATAATGTGTTTAAAACTTAAATAATACTTGAGGTAGGTAGATTGCGTAGCTGCTTGTTTCAATGGAGTTGCACCACCAGTAAAAACTTGGGCTGTGGATATTTCCCTCTTAGGCTGTTCTAGTCTTTGGTGAAGGGATTGAAGCAATGATCCAAAACTACAGAAAAGAATGAGTAAATTACAAGCTACAAAGTATGGAAACCATATGTCACATTATCTAATGTCAAGAAAAATTCCATAGCATTCTGACAGCTGCCTAACTGTGCTTTGTTCTAATACAGGTTTTTTGTGTTCTTCCTTATTTTTAACAATTCATTGTTGGGTTTTTGTGCTTAGCTCATGTGGTAATACCTGAGATTTATTGCATTATATTTTATCATAGTGCTTTTCTGTCTTAAGGATAAGTTTTTTGTTTTTTGTTTTTTGGTTTTTTTTTTACAACAAGCATGAAAAGGGAAAGTATTACAGATTTGCAGAGACTTTAAAACTATCCACAATGACAAGATTTAACAGTTTTCTCCTATAATTCTTTTGGGATAATCTGTCTTTATTTAGCTCAAGAACGCTGTGTTGTCCCATATCCAGATGCTTCAGCATTCTTAGCCAAACGATTGACCAACAACTACCTGCCAGTATTTTATGTCAGAATACAATCAAATCATCAGTTAGTCAGTTAAATGGTTAAGATGTAACAGTCCTTCAGTGCGTTTACATGTAGTCTTGCAAAGTTTTCATGAATAACACCAATATAAATTAACTGTACTAGAGAATCAAATGCTCTAGTTAGCACACAGCACACAGTAATATTAACTAGAATTTTACGTAGAAATGCAGTAACTGACATGTTTGTCACACACCAGTAGTTTTCAGGGACTAAGGCCTGGTTGGCTGCAGAGGTTAAGTATAGCAGCAGATACAGCGAGGGCTTCCCAAACGCAAGCTGCTTCCTCCCATGTGAAATGCAGTATTTGGCTGGGAAAGAATTTGACATTAGCGAGTTAAGGGATTTCTGGTGGAAAAGCCCCGGTGCGGTACCTGAACAGACTAGGTGATTTACACATACTTTTTGTTTGACTCTTTATTCTGCTGTTCAGGCTTTTTATTACTGACCAAATGAGCTTTTCTTAACAGAGGCTTTTTATGGAGACTTTAAGAGACTTCACTACATTGAACTACTACCTGAAGCTTCCTCCTTAAATCTCAATTTCTTTTAAGTTTTGGTATTTTTCTCTTGGTTAAATGGTCATATCTTACTTTCTAGCCCTTTTTCTTCTTGTGAGCTGGGATGTGATACATCCATCTTTTCAAAGTGAAGATGTATGAATAATTTGTCCTCAGGCCTTCCGGATAGCATTGGTTCTGTCAGATAATAATTTTAGGTTTCTTTTCTTGTTTACTTTAAAGTTTTAGAAAATATTTTCTGTGATGAAAGGGACCTTAATTTAAAAGTGAACAGACATGGCTTTCCCAAAAGTAGTGATTTTGCAGAGTGCTCTTACATCTGTTCAAACACTATTAAAATAACAAAGCACTGACAACAAACCAGCCAGGTCAATTACACCTTGTATTGGTCTAGAAATCCATCGTCCCAGAGGAGTGTTTTGCTAACCATTCAAATTACATTTTAAAAGTCCTGTAAAAATTCGGTTCAGGAATGTTAGATTTTTTTCTTTGATTATTTTTGTTGTTCTGTTTGGTTTTTATTTTTGGGGGATAACAGTATAAATCTGGTTGTGCTGAGGTGTTTTTGTTATCACTGTTACAGATAATATTTAACCCTTTCAGAAGACAAACACGTTTGTTTGAAATTTTGATTAAAACAAGCTTTTTTTCCTCTGTCTTATATTTTCATCTAATTTTGTCAGTAATTGACTTGTGATTTCACAGTTTAGGCATATTGAGTGGATCAGTTCATTTTCTAAGTTAACTT